GCATATCAGCTGCAAATGGGCAGGACTCCCCCCCCCCACACACACACACAATGCCCATCCCCAGCACAAGTGCGGGAGAATATGGAAGACTGTTCGTGCCCTGTGCTGTGACCCCCACTGGACAGCCCCCCCACACACCGCCTCAGGACACCCCAAGCTACTGGAGAACACAGCAAGGAGCGCTCACCAGGACTCAGGAGGGGACACTCGGCAGCCTGCCATTGTCTACTTCCAAGGGGTGCCTTTGTGTCTAGGCCTCCAGTGTGCCTAGCTCACGCTGGGACCTCCCCAGCAGGAAAAGATACACCTGCTGGGCCTGGGGGTGCGCATGCGCAGCACCAAGGATGGAGCCGATGGTCGAGCATCAGGACGTGATTGTGGCTCTATGTGAAGGACGGTGTGGCTTCCTGCACGGTGTGGTGTGTGTGACTTAATGGTATCTCGTGGCCTTGTGGGGATGTGTGAGGCTGGCTTGGTACAGAGTCAGAAGCATCTTCATATACAGTTACCCACCCGTGATAGGGTGCCTGTGTAGCTGCGTGTGGTGGTGTGTCCATGCTACACTCGGTTTTACTGTGTGCCGGTGTAGAAAGCCATGGATCACGGGCTGGGAAGGCGGCTCCGTGGTAGAGCGCTTGCCTTGCATGCATGAGGCCCTGGGTTCAATTCCCCAGCACCACGTAAGCAGAAAAAGCTGGAAGTGGTGCTGTGGCTCTAGGGGTAGAGCGCTGGCCTTGAGCTGAAGAGCTGAGGGACAGCGCCCAGGCCCAGAGTTCAAGCCCCACAACCAATCAGAAAAAAAAAAAAAAAACAGGCGTGGATCTCTGCAGCTGTGATCACATGTATGGGAAGGCCTGTCTGGCCATACCCAAAGGTATGTGCTACTGTGGGTGTGTGGCCACGTCTTCCTGAGCCACGTCTTGTATGCGTGGCTCTGTGAGGGCATGGACATCCGGTGTTGTGTACCATTACGTATTAGGGCTACCTCTGCCTGTGTGACTGTGTTCTTGCATACAGGCCTGCAGGGAAGACTGTCAGTGTGTCTGACAGTCGGGCATCCATACAGCTGCTGAGGAGCAAGTGGCTCACTGCAGGCCACGTGACGGGTTTCTTGTGCTGCTACGGTGCATGTAGCAAGCCCTAGGCCTTGGTGAGTGGGTTGAAAGTGTGGCTGGCATCCCCGTTCCAGCCTCTCTTACCTTAGCATCCTCCTGCTGCCCAACCCCTCTGCCCTAGGAGCCCGGCTCATCGCTCACCTACCCCAGGGAGCAGTCACTCTGAGCCAGCCAGGGTGTGAGAGCAGCCGGCAGAGCTGGAAGACAGTGTGTGTCTGTCTCTCCAGCCTCTTGTCTGGCAGCTCGGAACCCTCATCCTGATGCCACCTTGCCTCCCATTAGGGATCAGCTCTGTTTGTTTGGGTTTGATGTGTCTGTTTGGGTCCAAAGCTCTGTTCTTTCCACAGCAGTAGGACGTTGAGTTTCAGTGTCCAGCCAGGCTTGTCCTTGTGATTTCCTCCCACCCATTGTACACACACACACACACACAGGATGGGGGCTAGGGGGAAGCTGAGCCCCAGGGATCAGGGCTGTGTATATATATCATCAGTAGGATGTAAGCTGACCTTGCTCCCACTGCCACCTGTGGCAGAAAGGACAGCAGGATCTGGGCATAGGGCTCCGCTCCAGATAGGACAGGCACAGCCTGGCACTTGCTAGGATGTGGCACCCCCCCTTACCCAGGGGCATCCCTCCCCATGGTGCTATGGGAGGAAAGAGTCCAGAGCATCCTCTCTCGGAGGGGTCCTCTCTGTCTGGGCTCTGGCTCTGGCTTCCTCCTACACAGCCAGTTCCAGGAGCCTTTCCTCCCCCCCTCCCCCTTTTATTTCTCTTCCCCTCTCCCACCATCATGGTATCCCCAATCCCTAGCTCCCAAATGCTACCACCACTACCACCACCACCACCACCACAGGTTGGTATCTCTGCCATCTCTGCCTGTACATACAGGGAGCCAGGGAGCCATGGGGAGCAAGGTAGCCGCCATAAAGGTCATCTCTAGGAAGGAAGAGGAAGCCCCCTTCCTCTGATCCCTCCTCACCCCCCCCCAATCTTTTCCACATAGATAGTGACTCAGGACTTAATACCTCACACACACACACACACACACACACACACACGAGTGGGCCTGGGATGTGGACGGAGCAGCTTCAGTCACTGGATGGGTAGAACAGACGTGACGGACAGACTTATGTCAACAGGTCGAGATGGTTACCTACGCCCCTCCCCACCCCACCCCTACCGTGTGCACCCCTTCCCCGCCCCTCCCCAATCCCACCCCCATCCCCAAGGTGGCCACCTCCTCTTTTCCACCCCAGGAGATGAGGACCACCCCCCGCCCCTGCTCACCTCTGTAGACTCAGTGGCCCTTTTTGCTCATCCTATAGTGCACCACTCCCCCTACTCCCCCACCCTCCCCCCCCCACACCCTGCTCCTGCCTGCCTGCCTGCCTGGAGGGTGGGCAGGCTGCAGGACACCTGCTGTAGTGGCCGGCTGGATTCAGCACCACGCGGCCGGCGGACAGCTCCCGGGGAGGGGAGGGAGGGGTGTGGAGGCCCCCAGGGTTAGGTTCAAGAGCTGGGGATGAGGTGAGAGGGGCTGGGATCCCAGGGAGGGAGGTGGAGGATGGATGTTTTGGGGGAGACCTAGAGTAAGGAGAGCCCTGGAGGTGGGGCTGGGGGCGGGCCCCGGGGAAGGGAGGGGGGTTGGTGGTGGTGGTGGTGGTGGTGGTGGTGGGCGGGGCAGGCTGCGATTGAAAGCAGCTGGGCGGGCTGCACGGAGAGCACAGAACCCTGCGTGCACCGAGAGCCGGGCAGCCAGGGAACCGGAGCCCCGTGCACCGCCTCCCCGCACCAGAAGAGCCAGCGAGCTGGGCGCGCCAGGTAGGGTGAGCCGGTGATGCTTCTCTCCCACCATTGCCCTGGCCGTTTGCCTACCTTTTCTGACCTCCTTACCCCGCGTCCCCCTCCACATCCTGCAGTGGGGGGGGGGGGGAGGCCGGGAGTACCTGAGCCCGGGAACATCCAGAAGAATAGTCTCCAGGGGGGAGAGATGCTCATCCTGTCTTGCTCCCCCCACCCCTCCTCTTCCCCCCCCCCTCTCCCCAGGTCCTCCTGCTCCTCCAACATCCTCGGGTCCTTCTGTCTGTGCGTCTGTCTTTGTCTCAGCCTCTCCAGCTGGCTGGTCCCCCTGCCCAGATCTTTATTTATTTAGTTAGTTTAAAATCCCTTAAGCCATCAAACCCCACCTTGGGCTGCCCAGCCTCCTTCCCCCTGGGTCTCTGGTTCCATCTAGGCCTTCCCTGGCTGAAACCCTCACCTGAGTCCCTTGCCTCTCTCCTGTTTGCCCGGTTAAGCCGAGATATTTCTTTCGGGGTTCCCTCCCCCCCCCACCTCCAACACACACACAGAATCTCAGTCCCCTAGTCTTGTCACCAGTGAGGATCTCCTGTCTTCAGTGGCCAAGACCTGGGAGAGGAAGGGAGCGGTGAGTCCTTCAACTAGTTGCTGTCCTCTTCAGCCTCAATTTCCTCTTCTGCTCTGAGGACACGCGTCTAACCCTCTCCCAGCCTTCCTAAGCCTGCATGAACCCAAAAGCCTGTGTGGGGTGGGTATTTGCAGTGGCACCTGGGGTTGTAGAGACTAGAATGCAAAGTGGAAGAGGGAGGGAGAGGAGGGTCTCGTAAGGGGACAATGGGTACAGGTGACAGAGTGGCAAAGTGGAAGAGGAAGGAAGGAGGTCTCTAAGGGTTAAGGAGGGACGGTCTGGAGGCTGAGGTTGAAGAGGCTTGAAAATGCTGACTTTTCTCTGCAAAGTCGCAAACATCATCCTACTTAGAGGTAGAGGTTCCAGAATTCACCTCAGCACTGTTGGCCGATTCTAACCCAACCAAGTATTCCCACCTGCTCACCCACCCACCCGGGGTACACACACACCTTCCTATTGTCCCTGTTGTGTTAGAACCTGTGGTTACTTAGCCATCCCCCCCCCTTTTTTTTTTTTTTGCCAGTCCTGGGGTTTGAACTCAGGGCCTGGGCGCTGTCCCTGAGATTCTTTGGCTCAAGGCTAGCACTCTATCACTTGAGCCACAGGGCCACTTCCGGCTTTTTTTCTGTGTAGGTGGTACTGAGGAATCGAACCCAGGGCTTCATGCATGCTAGGTGAGCATGCTAACCACTGAGCCACCTTCCCAGCCCTTAAGACCCTTTTCTGGAGTCCACCTCTTTCCAGATCTTAGAATCTCCATTCCTTTTGCAGTCGGGCAACTCTGGTTCTTTTACGGAGCAGAGGCTGGCACTGTTGAGTGTCCACCTGGGCTCCAATCTTCCTAGAGTTAGAAACAGTCCCTGGGAGACTCCTCCTTCTTTTTCCCTGGCAGGTCTCCCAAGCATCAGTGCCTACCTCTTCCACTTCCCTAGATCCTTAAGTTTGTAACTCTTGACATCGGACCTCAGGCTCATTGGAGGCTTGTGGAAGAATCCTGGGCAGACTTGGGTTTCCTTTGGCATCCACTGGGATTCCCTGGCCTCTAATCTGTCTGTCTTAGGCCTCTACTTCCTACTTTTCTTCACCCCTCTGCTGAGTTTGGACGCACCACAAGCTCAGATTAGAGCAGGGTTGAGAGGCAGGTTCAAAAGGGGATGATCTAGGAAGTTCTGAGCCTGTCTAGTGACACACCATCGTCTGCCAAGTTCCTGACTACCTGTAGGGAGGGGCAGATCACAACAGGAAGCTGGAAAGAAAAGCCACTCGGGTCTCAGGTTCCATTTCTGTCTGTCTGTCTGTCTGTCTGTCTCTCTTTCTGCAGGAGCTGAGTCCTTTCTCATCTCTCTTCTTGTCTGTCCTTTGCCCAGCTCTTGTTCCCTCTTCTCTCTGCCTTTGCTGCTTCTTTCTGCCTGCCTATCCATCCCCTGAAGACCCAGGTCTCCTTTGCGGGGAGGGAGGTCATGGGATCGCTGCTTGGGTTCCTGGCCCTGTTGCTGCTCTGGGGTGCTATGGCTGAAGGCCCAAGCAAGAAAGTGCTGACCCTGGAAGGGGACCTGGTGCTGGGTGGGCTGTTTCCAGTGCACCAGAAAGGTGGACCGGCTGAGGAATGCGGTCCGGTCAATGAGCATCGGGGCATCCAGCGTCTGGAAGCCATGCTTTTCGCCCTGGATCGCATCAACCGTGACCCCCACCTGCTACCTGGGGTGCGCCTGGGCGCCCACATCCTGGACAGCTGCTCCAAGGACACGCACGCCCTGGAGCAGGCACTGGACTTCGTGCGTGCCTCCCTCAGCCGTGGGGCAGATGGCTCCCGCCACATCTGCCCCGACGGCTCCTACGCCACCCACGGGGACGCCCCCACCGCCATCACCGGGGTCATCGGTGGCTCCTACAGTGACGTCTCCATCCAGGTATGTGGAAGTGGCGACCCACACGAGGGTAAGCGGGGGGGGGGGGGGGGGGAGTTTGAGGTGACCCAGAATTCTTGCTGAGCTGGGGGTTCCTTCCAGGCTGTGCACCAGAAGAGAGGGGATCAGCAGCTTTATAGGAGTTTTAGAATAGAAGGAAAAGCAGGTTCCCTAGTAAGCCAGGCACCAGTGGCTCACGCCTGGCATTCTAGGTTACTCAGGAATCTGAGATATGGGGCTGGGAAGGTGGCTCAGTGGTAGAGCGCTTGCCTCGCATGCATGAGGCCCTGGGTTCGATTCCTCAGCACCACAGAAGCAGAAGAAGCCGGAAGTGGCGCTGTGGCTCAAGTGGTAGAGCGCTAGCCTTGAGCTGAAGAGCTGAGGGACAGCGCCCAGGCTCAGAGTTCAGGCCCCACGACTGGCAGCAAAAAGAAAAAAAAAAGTCCTATTTGGGGTCAAGATTGTCCTACAATTTTAGAGATTATGTAAGATAAAAATAAAATAAAATAAATGGGAACTGGGCACCGGTGGCTCACACCGGTAACCCTAACAACTCAGAAGGCTGAGATCTGAGGATCGCTGTTCAAAACCAGCTCAGGCAAGAAAGTCCATGAAACTCCAAAAAGCTACCAAAAAAAAAAAAGCCAGGTGCCATTGGCTCACACCTGTCAGCTACTCAGGAAGCTGAGATCTGAAGATAACGGTTCGAAGCCAGCCCGGGCAAGGAACGTCTGTGAGACTCTTATCTCCAGTGAACCACCAGAAAACTGGAAGTGAGCCGGGCGCTGGTGGCTCACGCCTATAATCCTAGCTACTCAGGAGGCTGAGATCTGAGGATCGCGGTTCAAAGCCAGCCCGGGCAGGAGAGACCGTGAGACTCCTATCTCCAATAAAAACCACCAGAAAACCGGAAGTGGCGCTGTAGCTCAAGTGGTAGAGCACTCACCTTGAGCTGAAGAGCTGAGGGACAGCGCCCAGGCCCAGAGTTCAGGCCCCATGACCGACAAAAAAAAAAAAAAAGAAAAGAAAAGAAAAAGAAAACTGGAAGTGTCACCGTGGCTCAAGTGGTAGAGCGCTCACCTTGAACTGAAGAGCTCAGGGACAGCGCCCAGGCCTAGAGTTCAAGCTCTTTGACTGACCAAAAACAAAAACAAAACAAAACAAACAAAACCAAAGCCAAAGCCAAAAACGGCTGTGGCTCCGAATAGTAGAGTGCTAACCTTGAGCACACACACACACACACACACACACACACACACACACACACACACACACACAAAAAAATAAAGTCAGAGTTCTCAGTTCAACCTGTCAGATTGTCTCACCCAGGATTGGAGAGGGGGTGGCCGCATCTTCACTGCCCATACCTAGTCTAGGCTATCGGAAGATGAGGCCAGAACTGAGATCGGGGAACCATCAAAGGGGCTGTGGCTAGGGCCTCGGCTTCTTTTAGGAAACTGGAAGAAGATATTGCCGTGGGAAAGCCAGGACCCCTTTCTTGGCGGCACTAATTGAGGAGAAATGAAGCAGAAGTAAGAATCCCTCAGAGGCTGGGAAGGTGGCTAAGTGGTTAGAGTGCTTGCCTAGCATGCATGAAGCCCTGGGTTCGATTCCTCAGTACCACAGACACAGAAAAAGCCAGGAGTGGCACTGTGGCTCAAATGGTAGCGTGCTAGCCTTGAGCCAAAGAAGCTCAGGGACAGCGCCCAGGTCTAGAGTTCAAGCCCTAGGACTGACAAAATTAAAAAAAAAAATGTTTTGGCATTTTGTACCTTCTGGTACAAACTAGTAGAGATGGCCGGGTAGCAGCATGGGCAAGCATGGCCGTGGCAGCATTTACGTCGGTGGCCTGGCTGGCACAGGGATGCGTGTTCAGCCTTCTATTCCTGTCTCAGGTACCCCTGGGGTGCTTGCCAGTACCCCTCCATTCACAGTTCTATCCAGGAAACCAATGCCTTCCTTCCTGTGTTAGAACCCCTCCCTCAACAGCAGGCTGGTTTTATTTGCGTTTTTGTTTTAGTTTTCCTTGTCTGGATCCATGAGAGGCTCAACCCTTTCTTCTTAGACTATGCCCATCTATTAATGATTTCTCTTCCTTCCTGTTCCCCCCCCACCCCCCTTTTCTCCTCTCCACCTTAGAAACAGAAATTCCCTTCTACTGGTGGACAGAGGCAGTATAAGACTCAGGCCTCTGTGGTGTGTGTGTGTGTGTGTGTGTGTGTTTGAACTCAGGACCTGGACTCAATCCCTAATCTTCTTTTGCTCAAGGAAACGCTCTATCACTTTGATCCACAGCTCCATTTCCAGGTTTTGGTGTGTGGGGGGGGTAGTACATTGGAGATAAGAGTCTCATAGACATTCTTTCCCAGGCTGGCTTTGAACCACGATCCTCAGGCTCTCAGCCTCCTGACTAGCTTGGATGACAGATGCCGAGCCACTGGGCTCCCAGTTCCCAAAGACTCTTGAAAGAGAGAACCCTTAGAGCTGTCCTAGGGGGGATCGGGGAGAGGGACCATAATGTGGGCGGCTTCTTCGGCCTCTGGACTCTGATCCTCACTCTCTCTCCCTCTATTCTAGGTGGCCAACCTCCTTCGGCTGTTTCAGATCCCACAGATCAGCTACGCCTCCACCAGCGCCAAGCTGAGCGACAAGTCCCGCTATGACTACTTCGCCCGCACGGTGCCCCCAGACTTCTTCCAAGCCAAGGCCATGGCTGAGATTCTCCGCTTCTTCAACTGGACTTACGTATCCACGGTGGCATCCGAGGGAGACTACGGGGAGACGGGCATCGAGGCCTTCGAATTGGAGGCCCGGGCCCGGAACATCTGCGTGGCCACGTCGGAGAAAGTCGGCCGGGCCATGAACAGAGCCGCCTTTGAGGGTGTCGTCCGGGCTCTGTTGCACAAACCCAGCGCCCGGGTGGCCGTCCTGTTCACCCGATCGGAGGATGCCCGTGAACTCCTGGCTGCCACCCAGCGTCTCAACGCCAGCTTCATCTGGGTGGCCAGCGATGGCTGGGGGGCCCTGGAAAGTGTGGTGGCCGGCAGTGAGAAGGCCGCTGAAGGAGCGATCACCATAGAGCTGGCCTCCTACCCCATCGATGACTTTGCCTCCTATTTCCAGAGCCTAGATCCCTGGAACAACACTCGGAACCCCTGGTTCCGGGAATTCTGGGAACAGAGATTCCACTGTAGTTTCCGCCAGCGAGATTGTGCCACCCACTCGCTGAGGGCCGTGCCCTTCGAACAAGAGTCCAAGATCATGTTCGTGGTCAACGCCGTGTACGCCATGGCGCATGCATTACACAACATGCACCGGGCTCTGTGTCCCAACACCACCGGCCTCTGCCAGGCCATGAGGCCCGTCAACGGGCGTCGACTCTATAAGGACTTCGTGCTCAATGTCAAGTTTGACGGTAATGGCGCTGGAGGGGGCCATCAGCCCGCTGGCCTTCACAGGTCCTTAGGTGCCATTATGTGACTAAGAAAATAGGATACCTTACATGGACAGATGGGCTGGGAAGGTGGCTTAGGGGGTAGAGCGCTCGCCCAGCATGCATGAAGCCCCGGGTTCGATTCCTCAGTACCACGTACATGGAAAAAGCCAGAAGGGGCACTGTGGCTCAAGGGATAGAGCGCTAGCGTTGAGCAAAAGCAGCTCAGGGACAGCGCCCAGGCCTTGAGTTCAAGCCCCAGAACTGGCAAAACAAAACAGAAAAACCCACAAAAAAACAAAGGTGGAGCTGTTTACCCCTTACATCAAAGATGAGGTAGTGTTTGCCAGCAACCTGCACCTGTCTCCCTGTTTACTTCAAACCAATTGTAGATTACTTATACCTAATATAATGCAAAAAGCAGTGTATTATGCAAATGCAAACATTCTATGGTTCTTATATATGTTATATATTATATATTGTTATTATACTGTATCATTAGTAACAAGAAAATAAGTCTGTGCTTATTAGGTATGGCTACAACCATTGCAGGTCTCATCACTCATTTATATCTATCTCTAGCTCTATCTCTCGATATATAGATATAGCTCCACATATCCATAGAGAGATTGAAATGTATAAAGATAGATAGATCTCTATATTGACATATAGATCTGTCTAGATATAGCTATATATACATATTCAGACATTTTTATGTATGTATATATATTCGTGTATACATATACAGATATTTCTGTATAGAGACATCTATAAATACATAGATATACAGATATGTATACAATGAGTATGTATGTAGTGCAGTATTGGATTTGAACTCGGGGCCTCATGCTGTAGACAGGTGCTCTACCATCTAAATCATGCACCGGCCCCGTTTGATTTCATTATTTATTTATTTATTTTTTGTCGGTTGTGGGACTTGAACTCTGGGCCTGGGCGCTGTCCCTGAACTCTTCAGCTCAAGGCTAGCACTCTACCACTTGAACCACAGCACCACTTCTGGCTTTTTTTCTGCTTATGTGGTGCTGAGGAATCGAACCCAGGGCCTCATGCATGCAAGGCAAGCACTCTACCACTGAGCCACCTTCCCAGACCCTGGTTTTCATGACTTTTCAAGTAGGGTCTTGCGTATTTTTTTTTTTTGCCCCAGAGGGGTTAACCTTAGACCACAATCCCCCCCCCATGACTGGAATCACAGGTCATCATTTGTGCTCTACCACACTTGGCTTATCGAGTGAGATGGGGTCTCTTACTGTAATCTTCCTGAGTAGCTGAGATTATAGGATTTTTTTTTTTGGTCCGGTCGTGGGGCCTGAACTCTGGGTCTGGGTGCTGTCCCTCAGCTCTTCAGCTCAAGGCTAGCGCTCTACCACTTGAGCCACAGCGCCACTTCCGGCTTTTTTCTTTCTGCTTATGTGGTGCTGAGGAATCGAACCCAGGGCCTCGAGCATGCAAGGCAAGCACTCTACCACTGAGCCACCTTCCCAGCCCTATAGGATTTTTTTTAAGGCTATTTAATTTAGGGTCAGTTGGCTCTGTAACTGTGGCACCTGTGATGGATGTAATTCCACTAAGATCTACACTTGACGTTATACTAGAATTAATGTCAGGATTAAGGTGGACACCTGGCATCTAAGCAGATGTCAGCAAATCCATAGTCAGCCTCCTGAGTTTGAGATTGATACAGACATAGAAAAACGTAGGCTTAAGCTGGGAAGGTGGCTCAGTGGTAGAGTGCTTGCCCAGTATGCATGAAGCCCTGGGTTCAATTCCTCAGTACCACATACACAGAAAAAGTTGGAAATGGAGCTGTGGCTGAAGTGGTAGAGCGCTAGCCTTGAGCCAAAGAAGCTCAGGGACAGTGCCCAGGTCCTGAGTTCAAGCCCCAGGACTGGCCAAAACAAAAAACAAAAAAACTCAGGTTTGATGTTGGATTTGGATTCAATAATTAGTGGTGATCTCTTTCAAATAAAAACAGCTGGAGTTGCTGGGTGCTGGTGGCTCACACCTGGAATCCTAGCTACTCAGGAGACTGAGCTCTGAGGATAGTGGTTCAAAGCCAGCCAGGCAGGAAAGTCTGCAAGACTCATGTCTCCAATTAGCTATCTGGGAAGGTGGCTTAGTAGTAGAGTGCTTGCCTAGCATGCATGAAGCCCCGGGTTCGATTCCTCAGTACTACATACACAGAGAAAGGCAGAAGTGGCGCTGTGGCTCAAGTCAAAATGTGCTTGAGTCAATTGCTAATAATAGCGTCAGCTCTGGACAGGGGCTGGGCTGCGGGGTCTCATGGAAGAGGCAGAATTAAAGTTCCCTCATGCCAATCCCACCCATCCAACCCCTTTCTTCCTTCCCTCTCCCATCAGCCCCCTTCCGCCCGGCTGACACGCACAGCGAAGTCCGCTTTGACCGCTTTGGGGACGGCATTGGCCGCTATAACATCTTCACCTATCTGCGGGCCGGCAGCGGGCGCTACCGTTACCAAAAGGTGGGCTATTGGGCGGAAGGCCTGACTCTGGACACCAGCCTCATCCCGTGGGCCTCCGCTTCATCCGGGCCTCTGCCTGCCTCTCGCTGCAGTGAGCCCTGTCTCCCCAATGAGGTGAAGAGCGTGCAGCCGGGTGAGGTGTGCTGCTGGCTTTGCATCCCTTGCCAACCCTATGAATACCGCGTGGACGAGTTCACCTGTGCCGACTGCGGACTGGGCTATTGGCCCAATGCCACCCTGACTGGCTGTTTTGAGCTGCCCCAGGAATATATCCGCTGGGGGGATGCCTGGGCCGTGGGACCTGTCACCATTGCCTGTCTGGGTGCCCTGGCCACCCTGTTCGTGTTGGGTGTCTTCGTAAGACACAATGCCACCCCTGTGGTAAAAGCATCTGGCCGGGAGCTGTGTTACATCCTGTTAGGAGGCGTCTTCCTGTGCTATTGTATGACCTTCATCTTCATTGCCAAACCGTCTACCGCAGTGTGCACCTTACGCCGCCTTGGTTTAGGCACGGCCTTCTCCGTCTGCTACTCAGCCCTGCTCACGAAGACCAATCGGATTGCTCGTATTTTCGGGGGGGCCCGGGAGGGGACCCAGAGACCCAGGTTCATCAGCCCAGCGTCTCAGGTAGCCATCTGCCTTGGCTTGATCTCGGGCCAGCTGCTCATCGTGACCGCCTGGCTGGTGGTGGAGGCTCCAGGTACGGGGAAGGAGACGGCGCCCGAACGGAGAGAGGTGGTCACGCTGCGGTGTAACCACCGTGATGCCAGCATGCTGGGCTCCCTGGCCTACAACGTGCTGCTCATTGCCCTCTGCACGCTCTACGCCTTCAAGACGCGCAAGTGTCCCGAGAACTTCAACGAGGCCAAATTCATCGGCTTTACCATGTACACCACCTGCATCATCTGGCTGGCGTTCCTGCCCATCTTCTACGTCACCTCCAGTGACTATCGGGTAAGCCGCCTGCTGCGGGGGGGAAAGGAGGGAGGGGGAGATGGGGAGGAGATCCCAGAGCCTGGCCTCAGTTTCCTTTGAAGCTCTAAAGAAGTGAAATGCTGCCAGGCACCAGGGGCTCATGCATGTCATCCTGGCTACTCAGGAAGCTGCGATCTGAGGATCGCAGTTCAAAGCCAGCCCAAGGCAGGAAAGTCTGTGAGACTCTGATCTCCAATGAACCACCAGAAAACTGGAAGTGGTGCTGTGGTTCAAGTGGTAGAGCGCTTGCCTTGAGCTGAAGAGCTGAGGGACAGTGCCCAGGCTCAGAGTTCATGCCCCATGACCACCAACAACAAAAAAGTGAAATGTTCACTCACAGGGCCCATAGTTTGGGGAGACACCTTCCCCCACCCCCCAACCCAGGGAAAGGTGAAATGGGTTGAATAAAGCCTGGGGGGAAATGATCATGGAGATGAAAACCTCAAGTTAGAGGGAAGATGGCAGGAAGTGTTAGGGACCAGAAATAAGTCCTGGGCTGGGAAGGTGGCTCAGTGGTAGAGTGCTTGCCTTGCATGCATGAAGCCCTGGGTTCGATTCCCCAGCACCACACACAGAGAAAAAGCCAGAAGTGACACTGTGGCTCAAGTGGTAGAGCGCTCGCCTTGAGCTGAAATGCTGAGGGACAGCGCCCAGGCCTAGAGTTCAAACCTCACGACTGACAAAAATAAAAAAGAAAGAAAATGCCCAAGGCCATTTAGTCTAGAGCGCAGAACAGAGTCTGAAGAGACAGCCTGAATAATTAAAAGAGCAAAAGGGTTGCGGCACAAACCCTGGCGCAGGGGTGTGTTGGCAAAGCGCTGAGGGTGGCTGGGCTTGGCCGCCCTGCCTGCACCTGCTCGGGCCACCTGCTCGGGTTGAGGAAGGAATCTGCTCCGACTCAGCCTGCATTTGCATCTGATTTGCATTTCCATGTCAATCATAGGCCGCTGAGGGCTCACTGGAGACAGAGCCATACACAGTATGCAACCACACGTGTACAGACACAGAGCATGAACACCTATACCTGCATACCTGGAAACACACACGTATACCAGTATACACACACTTCTGTCTACACACACATCCAAAGCTACACTCACCACCCAAATACTTGCACACCTATCTGGACACACTTCTACATACATGCTTGGATCTAGATGCGTTCCATACCTACACACACATACACACATGCTTCTGTTTTTCTTTTTTCTTTTTTCTGTCGTTCATGGGGCTTGAACTCTGGGCCTGGGCGCCGTCCCTCAGCTCTTCAGCTCAAGGCGAGCGCTCTACCACTTGAGCCACAGCGCCACTTCCGGTTTTCTGGTGGTTTATTGGAGATCAGAGTCTCACAGACTTTCTTGCCCGGGCTGGCATTGGACTATGATCCTCAGATCTCAGCCACCTGAGTAGCTAGGATGACAAGTGTGAGCCACCAGTGCCCGGCTACACTGCACACACACTTTACACATGTGAGTATTCACCCCACAGCTGATATCCTAGGAAAATGGTTCACTGGGCCTGATGCTTGGAACTATGTTCAACCTTTCTAGAAATTGCTTGGACTTTGTCATATATACCAGGACTCAAAGGATGTTTCCTGGCCAGGCATCGGAGGCTTATGACTATCATCCCAGCTACTCAGGAGGCTGAGATCTGAGGATCACGGTTCAAAGCCAGCCTGGGCAGGAAACTCCATGAGACTCTTATCTCCAATAAACTACTCAGAAAACCGGAAGTGGCGCTGTGGCTCAAGTGGTAGAGCGCTCACCTGGAGCTGAAGAGCTGAGGGACAGCGCCCAGGCCCAGAGTTCAAGTCCCAGGACCTGCACAAACAACAATCACAACAACATCCTAGCGTCGTCAGCGTATTACCATCCCTGACTTGGGCCTGCTCTTCCTCCCCGGACCCCCCACAGGTGCAGACCACAACCATGTGCGTGTCGGTCAGCCTCAGTGGCTCCGTCGTGCTCGGCTGCCTCTTTGCTCCCAAACTCCACATCATCCTCTTCCAGCCACAGAAGAACGTGGTGAGCCACCGGACCCCCACCAGCCGCTTCAGCAGCGCTGCCCCCCGGGGCAGCTCCAGCCACGGCCAAGGTCAGCACCCCACACAACCATCCCCACCCACATCTTCAGGTACGGTGGCCGCTCCCCAGGTTGCTCAGATTGCTTTCTCTGCGGGGAGGGGGGGAGGGATGGCGGGAAAGGGGGGGGGTCCAGTAAAGGGGTACCCATCAGATGATTCTGGGCACAGAGGGAGATATAGGAGGGGAAGGGGGAGGGCCAGATGTCTTCTCCCCAGATCTCTACTTCCCTCCATGGGAAAACCTCCCCCCCCCCCGCCCCCCCCTCACCCCCAGAAATCTCTGCCTTTCGTCCCCTAGGCTCTGGCTCCCAGTTTGTCCCGACGGTGTGCAACGGCCGAGAGGTAGTGGATTCCACCACGTCATCACTTTGAACACCCCTCTCTCTCTCTCCCCCACCCCCACCCCCTCCCCTATTCCTGCCCTGACACGGCTGCTCCCCTAAACCCAGTGTAGACCCATCATCATCCACGGCCAAGGAGGCAGTCAGCTGGAATTCTGCAATAATGCCCCCACTTCCCTATTTCATACTGACCTATCTCTTTGCAATCCCCCCATTCTCAACCCTTTCAGAGTCAGAGGCTTGGGTGCAAACATTGGGGGAGCATCTACCTTCAATGGTCATCAACTACCCTTTGTAAGCTATGTCTCCGGCTTCTCAGGCCCAGGGTTGGGGAGACAGGGGAGAGGAAAGCCAGGGTCTCCCCTCACCCCCCACAACACACACACACAAAGGTGATTGAGAACTTGCAGGTCCCAGGTTCTCTCAATGGGCACAGGTGCTTCCAAGCCCAGCCCCTCCCCCACGGCCCCTCCCCCCTCCCCCTCCCCCCATCAGGCCTTTTTATTTATTTATTTATTTTATAATCGGTTACTCTGGGATGGAGAGAATGGATCTGATCACGCCCATTTCCGCCTCTCTCCCGACACAGTAGTTTGGTCCTGTGGTTTATTTTGTATTCTCTGTAAATAAAGTGTCTTTGTTTAAAAAAAATAAATAAATAAAAGAACAGTCCACTCTTTGTGGTTGGTCCTACAGCCTCACACCTTGCTGAACTTCCCAAACCGAATGTTTTTGGTTCGTCTTTTTTATTGGTGTTATGAAGGTGGTAGACAGAGTTTCAGAATATATTCAGAGTACACTTGGGGGGGCGGGGAGCGGGGATAATGTCGCTATTTCCCTTGCTCACTCTGTTTTTCTCCCATCCTCACCCACTGGTTATACAGTTTTTTTTTTTTTGTTTTTTGTTTTTGTCAGTCCTGGGGCTTGAACTCTGGGCCTGGGCGCTGTCCCTCAGCTCTTCAGTTCAAGGCGAGCGCTCTACCACTTGAGCCTCAGCGCCACTTCCAGCTTTTTTCTATTTATGTGGTGCTGAGGAATCGAACCCTGAGCCTCATGCATGCAAGGCAAGTGCTCTACCACTGAGCCACCTTCCCAGTCCCTATACAGTTCATTTTCCACATAGTATCTAGTGAGCACTACCGCTGCATTCGTTCACCCTTTGCCTCTCTATTTCTGGGCCCCCATTACCCTCCCAAAGACAGACAAATGAACAAGACAAAAAGGAGGGGCTGGGAAGGTGGCTCAGTGGTAGAGCGCTTGCCTTGCATGCCTGAGGCCCTGGGTTCGATTCCTCAGTACCACATAAGCAGAAAAAAAAAGCCGGAAGTGGCTCTGTGGCTCAAGTGGTAGAGCGCTAGCCTTGAGCTGAAGAGCTGAGGGACAGCGCCCAGGCCCAGAGTTCAGGCCCCATGACTGGCCCCCCCCAAAAAAAGACAAAAAGAAAAGAAAGCTGGGTACTGGTGGCTCACACCTGCCATCCTAGCTACTCAGGAGGCTGAGATCTGAGGATCATAGTTCAAAGCCAGCCCAGGTAGGAAAGTCTGAGACTCTTATCTCCAATGAACCACCAGAAAAAGAAAAGAAAAAAACAGCAAGCAAGAAAAAAAAACAAAACCTCGTTTCTATTTCCTGGATCAAACTTAATGCTTATTGATTCTGCTCTGGACTTTTTTTTTGTCAGTCATGGGGCTTGAACTCTGGGCCTGGACACTGTCCCTCAGCTCTTCAGCTCAAGGCGAGTGAGCGCTCTACCACTTGAGCCACAGCGCCACTTCTGGTTTTCTGGTGGTTCATTGGAGATCAGAGTCTCATAGATTTTCCTGCCCTGGCTGGCTTTGAACTGCGAGCCTTAGATCTCAGCCTCCTGAGTATCTAGGATGATAGGCAACAGGTGTGAGACTGGCACCCAGCTATGCATTGTGCCTTTTACTAGGGAATGTCAGCTACTAGGACCAACCTAATGCTGCCTCCTTGGGTCTGTTTTCCAAATTTGCTATCTGGAGATCACCAGCAGAGGGCACCAATGCCCAGCCACGGCCTTGGGACTCAGGGTAAACCGTGGCTGCCCTCAAGTGGTCCAGAGGGTAATGAGTACTGAACCAGAAGAATGCGGTAACTTGAGGGCCTGCGATATAGCACGTGTGTGTGTGTGTGTGTGTGTGTGTGTGTGTGTGTGTGTGTGTCCCCATCCTGGGACTTGAACTCAGGGTCCCTGAGCTAGAGCTCTACTGTTTGAGCCACAACTCCACTTCTAGCTTTTTCTTTTTCTTTTTTTCCTTTGTGTCAGTCGTGGGGCTTGAACTCAGGGCCTGGGCGCTGTCCCTGCGCTCTTCAGCTCAAGGCAAGCCCTCTACCGCTTGAGCCACAGCGCCACTTCTGGCTTCTTCTGCTTATGTGGTGCTGAGGAATCGAACCCAGGGCATTGTGCATGCAAGGCAAGAGCTCTACCACTGAGCCACCTTCCCAGCCCAAGATCTCACAGACTTTCTTGCCCGTACTGGCTTTGAACTTGAATCCTCAGATCTTAGCCTCCTGAGTTAGCTAGGATTACAGGCATAAGACACCGGCACCCAGTGACATTTGTTATTTTTGAGTGAGTTCATTTGCATGCACAGGCTGGTGAGGCTGTGGAAATTTGGGTTGACAATTTTAAAAAATGGAAACAAAAAAAAAGGAAACCAAAGTAACAAGAATGGCCTCTCCCTCCCTCAACCAACATGTTGGGATGCAGGAATGAAAGCTAAAATGTTGAATGCTTAGTTAACTATGAAGGTCATAACCAATGAATATCTTTTTGTCAGTTGTGGGGCTTGAACTCTGGGCCTGGGCGCTGTCCCTCAGCTCAAGGCAAGCGCTCTACCACTTGAGCCACAGAGCCACCTCTGGTTTTCTAGTAGTTCATTGGAGATAAGAGTCTCACAGACTTTCCTGCCCGGGCCGGCTTTGAACTGTGATCCTCAGATCTCAGCCAGTCATGGTGCTTGAACTCAGGGCCTGGGCACTGTCCCTGAGCTTCTTTTGCTCAAGACGGAGACTGTACCACTTGAGCCACAGCGCCACTTCTGGCTTTTTCTGTTTATGTGGTGCTGAGGAATTGAACCCAGGGCCTCATGCATGCTAGACAAGCACTTTACCGCTGAGCCACCTTCCCAGCCGATCACGCTATATTTTCATCTGCTCATTTCACCCAGAATCCCCTGAGTGAATGTTGACCAGACCAATACTCACTCCCTACTGCCACGTTCTGCCTTTACCTCTACTCTCTGGCCTCTTCCTCAGATGTAAGGGATCATGGGAGGGAATGGAAGAGAGGAGGAAATCACGCAGGGTCTTAAAGCCCTCTAAAAATGTCCCCACCCCAAGTTCCAGGCAGACAAAAAAAAAAAGAGGGGAACCTATTGCTCTTGCTCCCATGGTTCAGTATGGAAGTTAACACAAAGAACTGAGAACCTCTGCTGAGATCTGACAATCCAGTTCAAAGCCAGCCTGGGTAAGAAGTCCATGAAACTCTTAGCTCCAATGAAACCAGAAGTGGTGCTGTGGCTCAACGTGGTAGAATGGTAGCCTTGAGCTGAAGAGCTCTGGGACAGGGCAGAGAGAGAGAGAAATAGGAAGTTCTGAACCTTTGGAAGAAAGTTCAGTTTTGAGGACCCCCAAAAGATAAAACTGAGAAATAGGAGCAGAGGATGGGGGTGGGAGAAGGTGATGTCGGACCCAAGAAGAACAAGGAAACCAATCTTGAAACCCTTAGAATGCTTGCCAAGAGGTTGAGTTGTTTTTCAATACACATGCATTAGTGGTTTAGTACTATTATTGAGGCTTGGACTCAGGGCCTCTTGCTCTTGTCTTTTTCCACCATACCTCCACTCTGGCCCCCTTCCCTTTTTCTTTTTGCTGGTTAATTAGAGAAAAGTGTTTCACAGACTTTTCTACCCAGACTAGCTTTGAATGTCGGTCTTCAAATCTCAGCCTTCTAAATAGTTCAGATTCCAAGCATGAGCCACCAGTTCCTGGCTCCGATTTTTTTTTTTTTGTTTTTAAGGAAAAGTTACTTAATTCTTTCTGGGGAAAAAAAAAATAGTATATGCTCCCTTTAAACAGTTGGGGCTTTGCAGAGAAGCACCAAAAAGAAAATCAAAGTATTGCCTCAAGTTTCAGGATACAAATTTAACCATCATTAACATTTCTGGTACAGCATGCTAGACATATTTCTATGCATTTTTTTACAGATAGAAAGATAGAAATATACCATATGTCTATTTTTTTAAGTGAAGGTTTAATTTTACTTGAGTCTAATTGAAGAAAATGCATCTGAAGTAAAAACGGAAGTTCTAGAACTTTACATATATATATCCTCACCAAAAAAAAAAAAGATATATGTATATATATACTTATTTTTCACCCTCTTGGAAGATCCTTCTAAGCTTAGGAAAAATGGAGGGTGACATTTAGAAGTAAATAGCCTTTAATCTCAGGGAATCTGGAGAGAGTTTGCAATCTATTGCTATTTGGGGGGCTGGGAAGGTGGCTCAGTGGTAGAGTGTTTGCCTCGCATGCATGAGGGCCTGGGTTCGATTCCTCAGCACCACATAAACAGAAAAGCTGGAGTGGTGCTGTGGCTCAAGTGGTAGAGTGCTCGCCTTGAGCTGAAGAGCTGAGAGACAGCACCCAGGTCCAGAGTTCAGGCCCTATGACTGACAAAAATTAATTAAAAATGTTGTTTTGGGTGTGTGTGTGTGTGTGTGCGTGCGTGTGTGTGTGTGTGTGTGTGTGTGTGTGTGTGTGTGTGTGCTGGTTACTGGGGCTTGAATTCAGGCCCTTAGCCTTTTCACTCCAGACAGATACTCTACCACTTGAACCACGGTTCCACTTCCGGCTTTTTGCTGCTTACTGGGAGATGAGAGTCTCATGGACTTACCTGTCCTCGCTCGCTTAGAACTTAAGTTCCTCAGATTTCAGCCTCTTAAGTAGCTAGGATTACAGGTGTGACCCACCCACACTGCACTTTTCCAAAACATTTCATTCAATCTC